TTATCTGCTTTGAATTAAAATAAACAATTCTAACCATCATTTACTAAATTTCTCAATTTTTAGGAAACCAGGACTTTGTGGCTATTGAGTTATACTGCTTCCTATTTAGATGAAGTTTGTCAGTAAATGAATGCAGCTAGAAATTATTTCAAATTATTTATTTATTCATTTACATAGCACCGGAAGTGTTCACAAGGCAATATGGCCCTGTCTTCACTGCTAAAAAATAAATTAAGAAAAGGGCACATCTTGTATCTCATGGGGAAATAATATCCATGATCTCTCTAAGGTAAAAACACAGTGAAGACCAGGCACTTCAGTTTTACCATGAGGTAAACTGCAAAGTAAACAGCCCTTTACTCTCTTCAAGGTGAGTCTACCTCATGGTAAAACTGAAGTGCCTGGTCTGCATTGTGTGTTTATTTCAGGATAGATCATGCGTGTTAGTTACCCCGAGGTAAAAAGTACACCTTTTTTAGCAGTGATGACAAGGCTTATGTGGACACGTAATAGATATATAGTTTGATCCTTTCATCCATTAAAGTAAGTGGTCCCTGTCCACAATATCTGACAGTCTATCTGATGTACTCATCTGAATTAACACTTGAAGTGTAAGTACCAGAGGGCACATCATCAGGGAGAGATCAGCCTTGGAATGTTCATGAAAGAATAGGTCTTAAGGAGGGATTCTAGAAATAGAGCGAGAGGATGCTTGGCCCACATCATGGGGGAGGCTGTTCCAAGCATAGTAAAGGCTTGTCTGCATATGGAGTTATTCTGGAATAGGTTTGAAAGTGGACTAAGTTAATAGGAATGAGGCACTGTTGGAAATAATTTCTCCAATATGTATGTTAGGGTTTACCATGACTCAGCTGCCACACAAGCATTCTTTTATTAGTTCCAAGGCCATTTGGTGTTGGTTACCTTCAATATATGAATATAAGTATATACACCTGTATATCCTATACCCTCGCAACAATACAATTATAAGCATTGGCCAAATATTCACAACCAGATCGGGCCTGGGGACGCCTTCCCATCATGGTGGGATGCCAAAGGGGTAAGGAAAAGCTCTGATGAACCCCTAGAAAATCTTGCTTTTTATACACTGTAACAAACGATGTCATTACTGGTAATTGGACTTTAAAGTCAGCTGAAGCAGTTTAGGACTATACTCTACTTTCTTCAAGGTTTTCTTCTTATCTTATTTGACAGTATTTTCCCCTAGCTGCTGGACTACACATTTCTAACCAGTTTTCTGCACCTGGTGCCCAATTGACCATGTTTTCTTTATTTCTATTGCTTAGCCCAAATCTTAAAATAAGATCACACTGATATTCTGAGGGTCACTACAAGTTTGACACAAACAATTCTTCTTTCTCATAAATTAATTCTTTTTGCTCACATGCTTTTGGCCTATTGCTTATGTCAAAATCCAAACTCAATTTACTCAAGTCTAATGTGGTCCTATATTCCTACAGGCACTCTTATTCTGGAAGAAGAGTTCCACAAACAAAGTTATTCAGGAATAGCTATTGTGCTTTAAATTTACACACTATCTTAATCTTAAATAACATTCAAGTGTAGACAAGCCCTTAGCAGTGGGTGACAGGTTATTAGAGAAGAGCTGTAAGGCAGAAAAGCACAGAGTCATAAAGACCCTTTATGGTGGAGATGACTAGCTTGAATATGAAGCACAATGCACCTCTGCATTTCCTGGTTTTGTTCAGTGGTGAAGGAGGTGGGAATACACTGAGAAAAGTAATTTTGTGAACTTCATTTCCAAACCAAAGCAGTTTGGCTAATGTTTCAGACACCATTTTACAGGCATAATTAGGCCCTTTGACCTTTTTGGGTGTTCATTCATCCAATAGTACTGAGGTGGCTTCTTACCTTATAAATGCCAAGATGAGCTATACAAGTTCAGCTGTTCTTTAGGTTTATCTCATAGTTTAATATGCTACACAAAGTTATAGTTTCACTTTTATATTAAATTAGGATTATTTTAATATTTACTTTTCAAATTCAGATATGGGAGTTGGGACCTGTCTTGAGTTAAAAGAATGGATCTGTTACTTTGCTTCAAAGCAGCCATCTGCCAAGGGCTTCATGAATTTTCTATTTCTGTTGTCTTCTGCTCTATTTTCTGGTGGTTAATTACAAAGGTATGAAGGATCGGATTTTTCCAAAATCATTCCATGTTGGCCTAACTTGGCTCTCACTTAACTAAATGGTAACACTCCTGTTAATTTCAGTGGGAGCGGAGTTAGGCTAACATTGCTTTTTTGAAAATCCCACCCTAAAATTATCTGTGGCTGCTAATATATAATGATTTAGAAAATAACATTGCATTGCAGAATTTAAGTGAAACATACTAGCATTGACTTCACACAACTCACGGAGAGAGATCAGTCAGGTTACAGTCATTTAGTTATTTCCTCTCTTTTTCTCCTTCTCTAAATCTTTCAATCTCATTTTTTTCATATGGACCAGAGAAATCCATTACATAACCCCCTGATCTTTCATTTAATTGATCCCCAGAGAATTTCTGTCTCTCTGAACTACAAACAAAATCATAGAGCATGAAAAAGTCCTCAAATACAGTTAGAGTAATGAATTTCCTCTTGGCAAGATCTCCAAGATTTGCAACATTGTGTAGCTGCAGGAATAGTTTACAGGTTGTGATATTTAAAAATGACAGGCAAATGGAAGTAATCAGAAACACTAACCCTATTACCTAAGAAATATTGCTAGCTTTTCCATGGGGGATATGAGAAAGCAGAACAAGGAGTCTGTCCTTTCTAAGGTTATTTCCAACTCATTTGCAAAGCCATTTATAAACCACTTTAATCTTTCAGCAGAAACTCTTTCTTCATATGATTTCCCCCCCATTCCATGACATGAGTTATTATACATTTCTTCCATGTTAGCTCTTAACATTACAACAAATGTAACTGAATGGAATCCTCTGGACTCATAATTTATTTGATTAATAGATGCCAAATGTATCTGTCCATCTATGAGTTCAAACACTTTAAAGCTCCAGGAACTTCCCAAACCAATAGCATTATTGCCTTTAAACAGGCATTCAAAGAATTATCTGGATGTGGTGTTTGTTTGTTTTTTAAAAACTTGCATTTGTGATATAGCCTTATTTGAAAATAAGTGGTTATTCTATAAATTATCTTTAGTTGGACAATCTAACATTAGTTCCGTACATTGTGTTTCTAGGAAATAATTGAACAAGACCTTAGGTGACAGTGTCTTTAGAAGTGGTTAGTAACATGTAGCAGTGCTTGTCAATTTGTCACCTGAAAAGCTTAACATTTTAAAACACTTCTTCCTTAATCAGTTCGCAGGCTCTAATGTACTCTGAGGTCAGTTCAGGATTGATGTAAAAGCCTTCTAAAAGCCAGAGTAACTGAAGGAGTTTGTGCTTTACCAAAGATATTAAGTTATTTTAGAAAAATTGAGTACTGGATTGCCAATAAAAATACACCTCTACCCCAATATAACACGAATTCTTATATAACTCGGTAAAGCAGTGCTCCGGGGGGAGCGGGGCTGCGCACTCCGGCGGATCAAAGCAACATTGCCTCTGATATCACTGTGCTACTGCTCACGCTCCTCTGCTTGAAGTACCACATGGACACTGTCAAGAGGAATGTTATTGATAGAAAACTGATAAAGCAATGAGGAGAAGAGGAGTTGGTTTTAGAGGGTTTAACAAGAACGTTTGGGTTTAGTGGTAGTAACCTGTAAAATTGCTACAGGTTCAGGGATAAAGTTTTTCTAAACCTTTGATCATTTTTGCTGCTGTCCTTTGGGTTCTCTCCAGTTTGTCCACATCTTTCCTGATGCCCAACACTGGACACAATACTCCAGCTGGAGCCTCACCAGGGCCAAATAGAGTGGGACAATTTCCTCCTATGTCTTACATATGACACACTGGTTAATACAGATCAGATCAAGTATTCAAAATTAGATATTCAAAGCATATCATTGAAAGACTCCTTGATCAAACGAGAGCAGTTATAATGGAATAAAAAATTAAATATTCATATCTAGAGATGAACACAGATCAAAAGAAAATTAACCCCCCAATCCTGCAAACACTTAGGAATATGCATACCTTTAGCATGAGAGTCCCCTTGATTTCAGTTAGAATTCTCACGTGTTTAAAGTTAAACACATGCCTGAATGTTTGCAGGATCAGGGCCCAAGATATTACCTTAAAAATAATAAATACATATAAATTCTTCATGCCTCTAGGGACCACAAACTCTCTCATGCACATTCCTCTTGTATCTAGAGCTGCAATGATAATGACCAATAAGCATAATTTGGGAAGATTGGAGTTTTTATTTAATTAAGGAAAAACCACACATTCTACTCATCAAGGTACTGCACCAAGTGTATAAATCTGAAGTGAATGTCCCAGACAGTTGTTAAATAGGACTTTCAGACCACTAGGAGCAGTAGCTATTCATTGGGAGTGTTATAAAAAATATCATTCCAGTTTAAAATATTTGCAAGTAGTGGGTGTTTTAACCTAGCCCTAAAATGACATTAACAATTAAAAGATTAATTTAGCAACACTTTTCCTTTCTTGAAAAGTGAATTTATTCTTTATAAACAATAAATGTATGGGCTACATTTGGATTTTACCAGTTATGCAATGTAAATGCAGAGACACACCATTAATATTAATGGTGCATTTACACTGGTATACTGGATCAGAATTTGGTGTCTTTTCTCAACTCCTGAATAAGGATTACTTTATTTAATTAGCTGGATTGTTTTGAAAATCTAAATTCACTGTCCTGAAGGAAATTTTCAATCTCTCTCTCTTAGATCTTCAGGAACAAAGGATGGGAACATAGAACTATAATAATAGTGTTAGAAACAGCTGTAATATGGACCTGATCCACACTTTCTCCATGGGCTTTGGTGAATATTCTTTGCATCTGTCTAAGGGATGTTTCTTCTTTGTGTTGCAGGGGAGCCTGAATTTAAATATATCGGGAATATGCACGGGAATGAAGCCGTTGGAAGGGAGCTGCTTATTTTCTTAGCTCAGTACCTATGTAATGAATACCAGAAGGGAAACGAGACAATTATCAACTTGATCCACAGCACACGCATCCATATCATGCCATCCTTTAATCCAGATGGGTTTGAGAAGGCAGCATCCCAGGTTTGTAAGCCAACGTATATAAGAATTGTAATCACTATCTGTATCTACCTCAGACTCAGTGAAAAACACCACTAATATAACAAGCTCAGAAATATATGAATTTTCACTGCATGACTTTTGACTAGCCCAGCTTAAACACTATTTTTAATAGTAAAATACATTGTAACTGTCCTATTTAATAAGGTATATGATACAGCTAGGCAAATACTGCAAAAAATTGTCTCCAAATATTCATTTTAGTTTAACTAATTCACTGTATTCATGACCTGTCTGTTGTCACATTTCATAAATATTCTATCAAATAAGTTCACTGACCAGAATGTTTTCCCCCCAAACAGCAAATTTTAATGGAATATTGCAAAATATTGGTGGAAGGGTAAGTTTAAGTAATAATTAAGAGCAGGGCCAGCTCCAGGCACCAGTGAAGGAAGCAGGTGTCTGGGGCAGCTAATAGAAAGGGGCAGCACTCTGTCCGTTGTTGAGGCAGCACTTCTGGGTCTGCAGTGGTAATTCGGAGGCGGGTCCTTCCTCTTCAGCGGCACTTCGGGGGCAGCCCAATTGCTCCGCTTCAGTCTTCGGCAGCAATTCGGCGGCAAGTCCTTCACTCTCTCTTTTCCTCTTCCGCGGCACTTTGGCGGCAGCTCAATTGGGTTTTTCTTTTTCTTTCTTTCTTTTTTTTTTCTTCGCCGCTTGGGGCGGCAAAAAAGCTGGAGCCAGCCCTGATTAAGAGTATTCTCACTGGAAACCTGATTCTAAGAATTACATCCATCCAATCAGGGAACAGAAACATATTATGTGACCTATATGTCTCATAAAACTGCTTTAATTTCAAATATCAAAGACTCTGAACAAGCTTCTTCTAAACCAACTACTGACCAAGAATTATTCAGGAAATTTAGGATAATGAATACAGTCAAGAAAATTGTGATCTTATCATGCAGATCTAAAATTGTATTAATGGATTACTCATGGATGTTTCATCCACCCGTTCTGCACTTATGCACACTTGTAATTTTACTCCAATGAATATACCCATTGAAATGAATGGGACTACTGACATGCTTAAAGTTAAATATCTGCAGAAGTGTTTTCAGGATTGGGGCTTTAGTGTATGGTCACTACTCAGAACTATAATTCCACCTTTAATAAAGATGTGATCATTATTATGATTTATAATATAAAATATCAAATAGCTATAGTTTAGGTCACTACAAAATTTATTTTAATTAGACTTTGAGTACATTAAATTGTAAAGCTTCCTACTATAGTAATTTTGAAACTTACCACATGAACGCTTATATATTATTAAATAAGCAAGATTCTGTGTCTTAAAATATTGTTAAACTCATGGAAATGAAACAGTCGTGTTTGAATCAGCTACCATCACTATTTCTAAAAAATGTTCAGTAGTAGCACTCCCTCTTGTGGCAGCAAAGTGGAAGCTATATTTCCCATAAATTACCAGCTGGTGGCCGTATGTCCTACTCATGTTAAATCACTTTTTGTAAAACTTTGATTTAAAATGGGAAAGAACCTCTTTCCTGCCTTCAGAAAGAAACTGATCTTTACATGTATTGCTTTTAGTGTTACTTGAATTTTATTTGTATAGTGCTACAGTACACAGAGATTTATGGCAGGTTTGATACACCCCACAAATTAAACCAAAACGATATCTTTGCCATGAATTTTCCAATAGCTAAAGTCATAATGAGAGAGAATACAAATAATCATCAGAGAATACATGCTGTCACTGGTCGGCTTCAGGGAACAGATATGGTTTTTTAATGCAAATTGAAAGCATCATAGCCAAATCTGGAAGTTCTTGCTAATGCAAAACTCACATTGTTCCTGATCCCTGAGACATTCTGAACAGCTACAGCTCTCCTCTGGATGAGGAACATTGACTTTCATAGGAGTTTGTCTGCATAAGAACTTCAGTATTTGATCTTTTAGAAATAATGTGACCTGAAGCATGATAATACAAATCTGAACTTTCTGCCATGCAAGGCTGCCCTTCCTAAGAGAATTTGCCTTTAACCTCAGTTTTAAGCTACTAACACTCACAGATCTGCAATAATCCAACTCTAGGGCCAAATCCCGAAGTCCTCACACAGTGCAAACTCACATAAAACACTGTTGACTTCAGTGGGAATTTTGCCTTAGTAAGTGACGATTAAAGGCTTTGGTCCAGAGTGCAAATTTATTTTAGGTTTGTGCTGATTCTTTCTGCATAACATCTTGAAGATACAGCCTTCCCTGTCCATCATACAGCTAAAGCTCTCATCCAAGCTGTCATCATCTTGTGTCTCAGTTACTGCAACAGCCGGAGCTCTCTGGCCTTGGCAAATGCAATCTTGCCCTGCTCATATCCATTCAGAATGCTGCTCCTTAGATCATTTTCCGAGCCCATGTCACCCCTCTTTTTGAATCTCTCCACTGGCCTGTCCCTTCCCTGTCACATCAAATATAAGTTGCTAGTATTCACCAGGGCCGGCTCCAGGCACCAGGCACCCAAGCTGGTGCTTGGGGCGGCACCTGGAGGGGGGCGGCGCGGCGCTCCGGCCGCTGGGGAGAGTGGGGCCACAGCCGGGCTCGCCGCCCTCCCCCCGGCGCTCTGGCCGCCCCCCGCCGCCCTCGCCCCGGCCGCCGGGGGGAGAGCCGAGCCCCCGCCGGGGCTCGCCGCCCTGCCCCCGGCGCTCTGGCCGCCGGGGTCGGGGGGAGAGCCGGGCCCCCGCCGGGGCACGTCCCCCCCCCCCCCGGCCGGCCGGCGCCTTTTTTGCCTAGGGCGGCAAAAAAGCCAGAGCCGGCCCTGGTATTCACTTTCCAGACACTTCATAGTCAATCCCACCCTATCTATCATCTCTCTTTCACTATCCACCTGTTGCTGCTTTCTGATTTGCCGATGATGCTGACCTCCACCATCATGAGCACTTTCATGCCTTCTTCCATGCTGCCCCTCACATCTGGAAGGTGGTTCCCTTAAATATCCACAAAACTACCTTTAACTCCTTCATCAAAACTCTCCTTTGCAATGATGTCTACAAAAACCATGACAATGGTTAGGCTGCCATTGTGCAAAGACCACTGCCTGTCACCTATATAGTCTCGTTTACTTGTATTCCCCCATCTTTATCCATCTGTTGTCTCTTTCTGATAATTAGATTGTAAGCCCTTTGGGGCAGGATCTTTTTGTTCTGTTTTGTACAGTACCTAGTACATTGTGGTCCTGGGCTAGGACTGGGGCCACTGTATGCTACAGTAATACAAATAAATAATAATATTAATACATATGTGTTGGTCTGTACAGATGGCCTGAATTACTTTTGTTTTCCCTTTCTGTTCCCTCTTCCCTTTCAGCCTGGTGAATTCAAAGACTGGTTTGTTGGCCGAAGTAATGCTCAAGGAATAGACCTGAACCGTAATTTCCCTGACCTGGATAGAATAGTTTACATTAATGAGAGAGAAGGTGGCCCAAACAATCACCTACTGAAAAACATGAGGAAAGCTGTGGACCAGAATCCTAAGGTAAATAATGTCCTGTACTTTCCACCAAATCATTGGAGTGTGTTTCATCCTTTCCCATAGAGAGCTCTCTTGCTGGCTCTTACATCAAGAAGCCTATGTTTTTAAATAAATAAGACAATGTTCTGGACTTGGATTATTTTGTTACTTAAACTAATCTATTTTCTGGTCTTAAATCTGTCAGCACCTAGTGCACCATTAATTTCCTTCTGTTGAACATTTCATAAACTGGATTCCTCCTTTTTTGTAGCAAGTCTTCTTTGGTCCATTCTGTTAGTTCACAGTCACTCTCCTTAACTCCAACCTTAATTTTTTTAAGACCAGAGATTATGGAGTCATCCTTGACTTTGTCTCCTACATTTCCCTTGTTGATCAGACAGTCCTGGTATTGCCATCTGTAGAACACTGCCAGAATTCACTTATACATTGATCTTCCCTGCTGGAAACTCAGTTCTTGTTTATGTACCCATATTCTTAAATATATATGGGTTTAACACGTCTGGAGGGGTTCTGTCTACTTCTGATCTTCACATGCAGAATGTTTCAGGAACTACTCCTGGTACACTGACGTACACTCTTAAGTGGCTATGGCTCTAAAAGCCAGTTTTTGATTACAGATTTTGACAACTTGTTGATGAAAAGTGGCTACCAGCTCAGCACAGGTTTAATTTTACTATCTATCCATTGTACAGCATAGAATGTACAGTGGACGTTGTTGAAATCAACATTTATTTTTTCATGGTTTTCAAAATTATCACAATATTTGCAATATTTCCTATGCTATGTGTAGCAGGGTAAAGTCAAACACTGAGATGCAATAAATATAGGGTCTAATTCTGATCTAATTTACACCTTTTCCCTTTGATGTGAATCCACCAAAGTCAATGGAGATACTCCAGATTGACATCTGTGCAAGGGCCTAATGTCAATAAGCTGCCTTGAAGCCAGTTTAAAAATTCCCATTGACTTAGATGGATCAGGCCATAAGTGTGATCAGAATCAAGCCTGTAACTTGTATTTAAAAGGCATTAGACTGCTGGGTATGTTACTACATGGACTATCAAGGTTAATTGCTGAAAATATCTGTTTTGTTATAGCTTGCTCCTGAAACTAAAAGTATCATTCACTGGATTATGGATATTCCCTTTGTCCTCTCAGCCAATCTTCATGGAGGAGACCTTGTTGCAAACTATCCATATGATGAAACGCGCAGTGGTGTGTATTATACATTAGCTTCATATGTCCAAAGACACAAATAGGATGTAGACACGCTATCCTTCCATGGCTGCTAACTAAGATTCACTTTCCAAATCATAGAAGTGTAGGACTGGAAGGGACCTCAATAGGTCATCTGCACTTATGGCAGGACTAAATATCATCTAGACCATTCCTGATTTGTCTAACCTGCTCTAAAACCCCCCAGTGACAGAGATTCCACAGCCTCCATAGGCAATTTGTTCCAGTGCTTAACTGGAAGTTTTTCCTAATGTCCAACCTAAACCTCCCTTGCTGCAATTTAAGCCCATTACTTCTTGTCCTATCATCAGAGGTTAACGAGAACATTTTTTTCACCTTCCTCATGATAACAACCTTTTATGTACTTGAAAACTGTTAAGTTCCCCCTCAATCTTCTCTTCTCTAGACTAAACAAACCGATTTTTTTCAATATTTCCTCATAGGTCATGTTTTCTAAACCTTTAATCATTTTTGTTGCTCTTCTCTGGAATTTCTCCAATTTGTCCACATCTTTCCTGAAATGTGGTGCCCAGAACTGGACACAATATTCTAGCTGAGGCCTAATCAGCTGGGAGTGGAGTGGAAATACCATGCAACTGTATAGTAATGACCCATTCAAGTAGATTATTCATTAATTAGTTATATTTATTGGTTCAAAGATAGTTAACATGTAATCTTTCACTAGTTTTGAAGATACATTTTCTACAGTTAGAAGAGCCTGATTTCAGTGAGGTTACTTGGCATATAATTGGTATAACACAATGGAGAATCAGGTTCAGAAAATTTTATCCATTTGCACTATAATTTTAGTGCAAACCTGTAATGATGAATTAATTGAGAAGATCCTGAAACAGTTACCCTACATCAGTGATGCTCAAACTTTTACAATTGTGCCCCCCCTTACCATTAATGGAATCTGTCCACGCCCCACCCATTACTGCACAGCCAAGGCCTCCTTAGCAGTGGAGCGTAGGCTGAAAATGGAGCTGGGAGCAGAAATAGGGATGGGGGAGCAGCTGGATCTAAAGGGGGAGCTGGTCTGGGGGCAGAGGGGGAATGAGGGCAGAGCCGGGCTGGGAGCTGAGCAGGGGGGTGGAGTGGAGCTAGAACTGGGGGCAGAGGTGGTCTGGGGAGAGTGAATGAGGGCCAGCTTGGCTGGGGGCAGAGTGGAGCTAGGACTGGGGTTGGAGCTGGTCGGGGGGCGGAGCAGGACGGTGGGGTGAATGGGGCTACGGGAGGAGCAAGGGTGTGGACGAAGCTGGTCTGGGACTGGAGCGGGGCTGGAAACATGGCACTCCCTCCCTGTCCCCCGTAGGGGCTGGCCCCAGCCCCGCTACACAGTGCACCTCCCCAAACATTCCTAGGAGGGCGTGCCCCACAGTTTGGGGACCATTGCCATACATTATATCCTTTTTAGTCATACACCAGATTTTCCTAATCAGGGAGAGGGGAATGGGTTTTAAGGGTCTGGACACCTGTCAGTGAAGAAATGGTAGTTAAATATTGAGTCATGAGTCTAGGAACTTCCCAAGCAAAGTGACTTAGATGGTATAATAGCAAAAGCAGCTTGGGTGATATCCTGCCTCTACTGAAGTCAATGGGACTTTTACCATTAACTGTTGTGGAGCCAGGATTTCACCCTTTCTGCCCACAATGTATAACTCTCCATATCATCCTCATCATCTGTCTGAAGTATAGTCCACATATTTGGTAATTACTACATGACAATGAACCAGTGGTTATATGTACAATAGCTGACATGTAAGCAGAGGCTGTTTATTTATGGCTTGCAAACTAAGACATTAGTGACATACCTCGTTGAAAGAGTTCTTTATGATGTCAAGATTTAACTGTTGGTACTTTAATAAATGCAGTCATGGAAGTGATGTGTATGTTAGTGAAAATAACTGAATTGCAGTTTCTCCTTCACTATCACTGCTCGGCACTATGTAGTCTGTTATAAAATGGTTCACTCTCCAGCAGAATCATTTTACCAGTTTGCACATAGTATTATTATTATTGTTTTATTACTTCAACCACTAACATGTGCACAGGCTTAAATTGAATAACCATCTGATCTTATTTGTAACCCCTGTCCTTCTTCAACTCACTTTCTCCCTATTGTTTGTTACTCTCACTCATCATATCATTCAGTATCAGATTGTAAACTCTTTAAGGAAAGACTTTTTTTGTTTCTTTGGTCTATAAAATGCCTAGCACACGTTGGGGGTGTTTGGTACTGTAAAAGTAATAACAATAATAATATTAATACTGGTACATCAATAAGGAATATTATTAATATTGATATGAATATTTTAAATAACAGCAATACAGATAGTATTAGCATTTGAAGTAATAGAATTATTATTAAATATTAATTTTATTTTGCTATATGTGCACTGGGTACTTTACAGAAAAGTAAAAGACACTGTCCCTGCCCTAATGAGTTCATAATCCAGTAGTCCTAGTCTGTATGACTAACCTGCTAATCCATGTGTCTGATTTTTTATTCTAGGTAGCACTCATGAATACAGCTCCTGCCCTGATGATGCGATTTTTCAAAGCTTAGCTCGGGGCTATTCATCTTTTAACCCAGCCATGTCTGATCAAAACAGACCACCATGTCGTAAGAATGATGACGACAGTAGTTTTGTAGATGGAACAACCAACGGTGGTGCTTGGTACAGTGTTCCTGGAGGTCAGTGCCACTTCATGGTACAATACAGATTCAGTTGCTTTTGAGGATAGTCCGTAATTGTGGTTACTTTAAAATCAGATATTCAGTGACAAATTAATGGAACAAAATTGCAAAGCTCTTCAGCGTTTGCTGGTGTAACACAAGCTGAATCTCAGATGGATCCTTAGGGAATATTTTCTTAACTACTGTAGCTGCAAAACTCCCATGAAGCAAATGGGAGGTAAGCATGGAACTCCTTATGTGCTCAGCTCAGAACATACACAAAGTGAAAAGGGAAGCTGACCAGGATGCCTGTTAAAATATTTGTTATCTTTCACACTACACACCCAGCAGACTCAGAATGTTTAAGCAATTCAGTTCTCAGACAACGACAATTAAGCCATTTTCTAAAGTTAGAAAGCAATTAAACATTTTGTCTTTTTTCCCCAAAAGGTATGAAAACTGTTTTATCTCCAGGTTTGTAACAGGTAATTCAGAGAATAAATGTTAAAAAATAATGGATGTATAAACAATTGAAATATTGATTTTGCACATGCACAGTAGAAAAATGGCCACTAAACACAGTTACACTATTGCTTATAGGCGTATGGAGTAATATATCATTACTAACTATTTCAGAGAAAAAAGAGATACCTGGAAAGGGATAGCAGACTGCTGACTGCTATTCACTGTGGGCCCAATCTTGAAAGGTGCAGAGTGCCTTCTAGGAGGTGTTTAGGGCCTGATTCTACGCCACTGTAGATAACGGAAGTTTTGCCATCAGTTTCAATGGGAGTCCAATCAGGGCCTTAGATTCCTGCATCCCTTTCTCACTTCTTGCCTCCTCCCTATCAGTGGATCCCCAGATGCATGCAGAGCTCTCTGCAGGGTCCAGTGGAGGTGGCGGGTGTGATGGGTTGGATCACAGAAACCCCCTTGGGGCTGCCAACTGATGTGCCAAGACTACTTCTGCCCCTGCCTTCCCTGCCAGCTTGTGCCAGACACGCTTGCTGGCTACAAACACAGACCCAGGTCTGAACCATGTCCCACAAACTGCAGGCTTAAATGAAAGCAGCTTAAGAAGCTTATACAGGGTAAACTCATAAATTGTTCACCCTCTATAACACTGATAGAGAGATATGCACAGTTGTTTGCCCTCCCCCCCCCAGTATTAATACATACTCTGGGTTAATTAATAAGTTAAAAGTGATTTTGTTAAATACTTGGAACCACTTAAATCCTACTTTTTGTAATAACAGACAGAACAAAGTGAATTACCAAGCAAAATAAAAGAAAACACGCAAGCCTATGACTAATACAGTAAGAAACTGAATACAGATAAAATCTCACCCTCAGAGATGTTCCAATAAGCCTCTTTTACAGACTAGCCTCCTTCTAGTTTGGGTCCAGCAATCACTCACACCCCCATGGCTACTGTCCTTTGTTCCAGTTTCTTTCAGGTATCCTTTGGGGGTGGAGAGGCTATCTCTTGAGTCAGCTGAAGACAAAATGGAGGGGTCTTCCAACGACTTAAATAGACTCTCTCTTGTGGGTAGAGACCCCCTCCTCTCTCCTATGCAAAGTCCAGCTCCAAGATGGAGTTTTGGAGTCACATGTCCATGCATGACTCAGAACTTATAGGTAGCAGCCATGGTTCACATGCTACCTTGAACATCCTCAAGTAGACTTCTTATGTGGATTGGAGCCTTCCAAGATCCATTGTCCATTAAGTGTTTCTTGATTGGGCACTTAACTTGCAAATTCCTTTCTAAAGAAAAAAAGAACAGGAGTACTTGTGGCACCTTAGAGACTAACACATTTATTTGAGCATAAGCTTTCGTGGGCTACAGCCCACTTCATCGGATGCATAGAAGGGAATATACAACAAGAAGATATTTATACATACAGAGAACATGAAAAGGTGGAAGTAGCCATACCAACTGTAAGAGGCCAATCAATACTTCCACCTTTTCATGTTTTCTGTATGTATAAATATAAATATCTTCTTGCTAACACGGCTGCTACTCTGAAACCTTTCTAAAGAAGCTTCCCAAATGCCTTACTAAGGTTACTTAAAATCAAACAAGTACACAGCCAATATTCATAACTTTGAATACAAAAATGATACATGCATACAAATAGGATGAATATATTCAGTAGATAATAACCTTTACAGAGATATGTTTTATACTAAATATGCCACGTAACATATTCCAGTTATGTCATATATACATTCATAAGCATATTTCCATAAAGCATTATGGGGTGCAACGTCACAGCGGGACAATGTGGTAGAGGTCGTTGACCCCCTTTACTATGTGGGGAAAGGAAATACTTTCACTCGTAGGCCTCATGGGCATGAATTAGACTTTAGTTTTAACTCAGTTCTTTGCTCAGACAAAACTCCCATTTAAGTCAATGGAAGCTTGAGCTGGTTGGAAAAATTCCAATGAAACTTCTTTGGTCAGAATTTGCATATTTATTGAAATATGTGGCAGAGAGGGTTCAATTTTGATTAAGTTCCTCTGGAAACCTGCCTAGTTGTGTGCCAGATGGTCTGCCCCGCTCTCTGGCAACTCCAGGGTTTGCAGCTCCAGGGCAGCCCACCTGCAGATTCCAAATGATTCCATCCACATTGGATATGCTGGAGCCCAGGACTGCACAGGACTTTGCAATTGCAGCTCTGGGCTGCTGTGAGCTGGGCGGGGTCCAGGCACCTGAACTTAGAATAGGGAACATGTCTGTCATACACTCACAATGCCCCTACTACTGGGTTCAGGAAGCATAGAAGAGGAAGCTGCCTGGTTTGAATGTGGAGGGGACAACAGCTAGATTTTCAGAGGTGGCAAAACAGATTGGGAGGAGCTGTCAGGGGGTGTGAAAACTGGAGACTAGTGGGGTGTGCAGGGTGGGAGGAAGAAGGAAATTTATATGGAGTTGGGGTTGGGGAAGACTGACTGACTTGCTGGTCAAGAATATTAGGACAGGGAACTAGAAGCAAGGGAGAGATGGGGCTGCCTGGGCAAGGAGATTGGGAATGGGACTAGGATCCAGGGGGAAGAGTAGGACTGACTGGGCAAAGAGACTGGAACTGGGAGCCAGGGTAGGAAATGGGGGATGAAGACTGGGAGCCAGTCGATGGGGGAGACTGAGATTAGATGAAGGATGAAAAATCTCCTTCATTGCAAATCCTGATTCATTTCCTGTGTATTGAATGAGGTGTGGCCCTGTGGAAAAAATAATGTGTGATCTTGCAATTAAAGACTGTATCATAATACATACACATAAGGGGGCTTAATTAAGCTTACAGAGGGAACCTTAATTCTGGCATTTCCAAAATTTTTGAGTGCTTGACTCTGCCATCTTAATAATGTTCTCTTAAAGTAGTTTTTGTCTGTGTAATATCTATATACAGTATAATATAGGCAAGATCAAGAGATAATAGCAAATCATTCCCAAGCATAAGTCTCCTATGGCAGTTATTCACTCATTACAGTTTAACACTGTAATATGTACAATACAGTACTCCAAGTAGCCGTGCAAGGGCACTTGATCCAACTGAGTCTGATCAGATTCTTGTATCAGCATAAAAATAGCATCTCAAAGCAGCTTAACTTGCTCTGTAATTAGTCTATTGTTTAAGTATCTTTTTATTCTCAGGCATGCTGTAAGTTGTGCCTGGCACTTTGTCAGTTCATTGCTGACATAAATCACATTTCATGTTACCTATTGCTGAATCAAAGCCGAGGACATTTTCTTTTGGGTTTTACCATGAGGCAGATAGGTAAAATGCTCATGCTCTGCATATCACCCCCAAAGCTTTAGTTTGTACCATCCTAAGAACGAATGCTCTGATGTACTTTGTCTTCATATACTACCCATACATACTAATAAAGTATTATACTACTAGTTCATATATTAACTAGTAACACAGAGGTATGTGGGAATTGCAGATGCTAAGCAGCTCTGAGGATTTGTCCCCTAACATAATATTTATATTTTAAAATGGAAGAAAATTTGTTTTGTCCAGATTCTAAACTCATTTATTCCAACGTAAATCCTGTGAAACCCCCTTAACTACAAGGGAGTGGAATAAAAGAACAAAGGGACATTCAACTCACTTGGTTCCCTAGAAAATCCCCACTCTGAACCAGCAATGAGGGACGTGAATCCAAGTTGTAGGTGATAGTGTGAAGTTTGCAAAGCATCAAAAGCCATTCCCAGTAATGACCCCCCCGCCATTAATGTACAATATGACTACTGTATTATAGTAAAAGGTAAAGTCTGTCCCCCATGCACAGAGCCTCCTAATATCCCCTCTCTTCCAGGAGGGTGAGAGGTCATGGCTAGGGGCTGAAGTGATACAGGACAGCTGGATAGGAGAGGCCATTTCCTCTCCAGAATTTCAGTTACCGTACGCACCAAAGATCTTTTATTATTCACTTTTTTATTTTTAGGTGTCTCTCTCTCTGCGGTGAGTAGGATGGAATGGGGATGGAATGATCAGTCAGCTACGGTGAAAGAGACAATGGGAGGGAATGGTTAAGGGGCAGTTTGTTTAAAAGTGTAACTAGAAAGATGAGTGCCTGGGTAAGGCACTTGACTAGGATTGAGGAGACCTCGGTTCAGTTCCTGGCTGTGCCACAGATATCCTGTGTGACCTTGGGCAAGTCATAGAATTATAGAAGATTGGGGTTGGAAGAGACCTCCGGAGGTCATCTAGTCCAACCCCTGCTCAAAGCAGGACCAACCCCAACTAAATCATCCCAGCCAGGGCTTTGTCAAGCCAAGCCTTAAAAACCAACCTCTAAGAATGGAGATTCCATCACCTCCCTTGGTAACCCATTCCAGTGCTTCACAACCCTCCTAGTGAAATAGTGTTTCCTAATATCCAACCTAGACCTCCCCCACTGCAACTTGAGACCATTGCTTCTTGTTCTGTCATCTGCCACCACTGAGAACAGCCTAGCTCCATCCTCTATGGAACCCCCCTTCAGGTAGTTGAAGGCTGCTATCAAATCCCCCCTCACTCTTCTCTTCTGCAGACTAAATAACCCCAGTTCCCTCAGCCTCTCCCTGTAAGTCATTTAGTCTCTGTGTGTCAATTCCCCATCTGTAAAATAGGGATGATGATACTTTCTCCCACTTTCTCTCTCTCTCTCGATTTTTGCTTTCTGTCTGTACTGCACATAACATGATGAGCTCAAATCTTATTTGGGCTTTTAGGTGCAACCTCAGTACAAATAAAGGAGGACATTTCAGTTGAAAAGTGGCAGATTCAAAACTATATGAAAGAAAAGGCTTTCACACAACACACAGTTAGTCTGTGTAACCCATTAGCACAGCCTGGTAGAGTATTGCAATTCCTACATGTGTATGTGTTTTGAATTATACAAGTCTATTTGCTCAGATACCTTTGCAGTACCTGGGCCACAGCTGAGAGCTTCGGGTAAAAAAAAACAAAACAAAACAAAAAAAACCAACAACCTTCCCCCCCTATTTTTAGGCAATAAAATAAAAACAGAAATTGTACAGAAGATATTTTCTGTTGTGTCCAAATGGTCTCTAATATAATAATGGGAAGGTAAATTGGACTTTGGAATAAATGAAGGTTTTGCCCAGCTACTAGAGGCTATAGAAGTAGGCTACAAACAAGTCATGACATTTGAAAGTCATAGCTTGACACGCAACATGAATTCAGTCACATTGCATGTATTGGACCAAATTCTCTACTGTGCCCACCATGAAGGGGCAGGATGGCATCAGGAAGCTGACTGCAGTTCCCTGAGTCTGAGGCCAGTTTTGAGATCCCAGTCACAGGGGAATTTAGAGCAGCCTAGGGACTACTGTAATTGCCCTTTGGCAATAATCCATCTGGGGATTGCCAAGGTATACTGTACTTCAGTCAGGCTTCTTCCTACCCCTACACTGAAAACCACAAGGAGGCGGCATAGGAATCGGCTATACAAACCCTGTGCTTTCTGGGAACTCCCCCACACTGGGTGAATCCTCATCCAGGGAAACATGACTGGCTTCCACTCCTCTTTTGCTGCCTGAGTGGTGCAGAGGAAGTGGAGTGGGTGTCACAGAAACTGGTTCAGTGAATATAATGACTCATTGAGGTCAGGCAGATGAACATTTAAATGCATAGATAATCAAAAATACTACTGTACATTTTAAAATTCTCCTAATTAAAGTTGCATTAACAATGTTTTTCATTTATCATATTCAAATCTCTTCCCCATTTCTTTTACTCTGGTGCTGAGTTTGAAAGAAAAACAAAAAAATCCCCAAGAAAAATAAACGCTGTAGCTGATTGGAAATTACGGGCCTCCCTTCCCCATTCTCCCACTGCAGTTGAAAATTTCAATGAAAATGAAAACATTTCATTTTGGGGGTGAGGGTTGTTTGTTTGCAGAAAATCATTGAAAAATTTTTCCATGGAAAGTAGACCCTAAAAATTGTGATGAAAGGCAATTTTTTGCTGAAAAGCAAAATTTTGATCAGCCCTAATAAATACCTCTTTCAAAGTATTTATGTGATGTTTTATTTGCCTTGTCATTAGCTGTCATTCACAGGCTTACAGTGCACATAATGGTCAGTTTCTTTTTTCATCTGGAAATAATTGAACCACACCTGGAAATTGATTTTAGTTCCTATGGAAGAAAAAAAGGGCTTTCCATGCCAAGTGTCCCATAGGAATATGCAGGCCAGATGCACGGTCAGATTTGGTACAATCATTACATGCAGTCATGACTGCCAAGAAATTCAGTGTTTTCTGTGAAATGAGCATTTTTAGTGAACTCCCTTCCCCCCCGAGAACAGTATATTGGGCCTGATTCGCCTCTCTCTTATTCTGGTTTATACTCCAGTAACTTCAGTGGAATTACTCTAGATCAGTGGTTCTCAACCTATTTACCATTGTGTGCCATGTATACAGCTCTCTGTTATGTGGGCCGCATACACACAATATATATACTACCCATATGGCCCAAGGATGTCCCGTGGGCCACAGCTGTGTGCTGATCAGGCCGCAGGTTGAGAACCACTGCTCTAGATTTACACCAATGGGAGAGGAGAATTAGGCCCATTGTGTTTAATGCAGATTTCTCCGAATTCCCCATAGCATTTCATAAGTCCCTCCTTGCCAGGAGTTCCACTTTCCACACTGGACACTGTCAGTACATCTTACCTCAGAGCAATGCAAACAGTGTCAATATACCTCTCTGCTGATATTGCAGGAATGCAGGACTTCAATTACCTCAGCAGCAACTGCTTTGAAATCACAGTGGAGCTCAGCTGTGAAAAATTCCCATCAGAGGAAACTCTGAAGACCTACTGGGAGGACAACAAGAACTCACTTGTCAATTATATTGAGCAGGTAAATGGTCAAAATAGAGTTTTCTGTAGAGTAATGTAACTAAACAGAAACTGCCAACTATGTTAATCTGATTATATGCTGTAATTACGATTACTCCACACACATCCATTGGGGGTAAATCCAGAACTAAGAGGTTGTTAAAAATTCAAACCCATCTGGATCTAGATCTGATTTTTGGTTGATATGCTATAGTTAACAAGTAAATGCCTGTGATTATGACGAGAAAATTAGCCTGTTAGTACAGCTGTTGATGAATGGGACACATTTATTCTTGAATAATTTATTTATGAAAAAAAATGCCAAAGTTTGCCAGATCAAATATTTGCAATGAATAAATCACGGAGTTTTGCCTGTTAGTATTATGTGGGATGAAGAGGCAGTATAATTGCACTACAGAATTTCACCATGCTACAGGATCCCCCAGTTAACTGTCTAAAAAAACCTTCAGCTTTGCACATGGGTTAATTTTAATTAAAATATGGCCTGACAAGGAATTTTCAGAACTGTAGATACTGTGACACCTTAAATTGCCTGCTTCTGTTGAACTGTTGGCTAGATCACTGAAGTTCAGTTGCTCTCATCTGGTAGAGGATTTTACTCACCTTCTGGACTTTCCTACATGATACTTACTGACCAGTTTCTCAGCTATGGCTGAGGAGAGTGCAGTATTACCCAGTAGAAGGTACATGGGCTTTCTGCTCTCCCGTGTTATGTGCCAGGCTAATCCTTTGTCATAAATTAGAGCTGTCTAAAGGATGTTCTTGTCTAAATTATACCAGCTGCTAATGGTGCCTAAAGGACAGCTGAAGATCAACAGTGTGTAGAGAAGCCTCAGTTGCATACCCTATCCCCACCTGTACCTGCTGCACCTGGTAGTAGCTATGCCTACTAAATGCCCTATACTGGCTGGTGATGCTGGTTTTAGAGCCACAGTCTAATGGTATTGCAACACAAAATGGCCACATCGCACCAGAGGACCCAGGGTACAGTCTCCAAATGAGGATTCATGCTCCACTGTCGTTAATGTGAGTTTTACCATTAACTACAATAGGAGCAGGATTGGATCTTGTGGGCTCAGTCCTCCAAGGGGCTGATTGCCTCATGTAAACGAGCTGATTTCATTGGGAGTTGAGGCTGCTCACACCTCATCTTAAGTTCTTAACGCCTTGCAGGATCAGACCAAAAATTCTTATATTTGAGAAAACTTAACAGCCTGTGGGAAAGATGTGCATCAGGCTGTCTCTCAACACTTTTCATCGAGTGTGAGAATATTCAGTAACAGAAGGATTCAAGGGAATGCATACTTCCCTTCATGGTTTGCTGCACATTTGTGATGAATGCTGCACAGCAAAAAACAAATTAGTCATATCAACAGCTGAACTCCATTGGCTCATCACTTTGTAATATTCCAGTTTGAGGTTTAGAAATTATCCTTGCTGCTTATTTTCAGCATGTAGCTATGGGGTGGATAACATGCAGTTTCAGATATTTTACTGACTAAAACAGCTGCCTTTTCCTTTAGAAAACAAGCATAAGTAATTTCCCATGTATCTCTGGCTTTTTTCAGATACATCGGGGAGTGAAAGGATTTGTTAGAGATCTTCAGGGAAACGCGATTGCAAATGCTACCATTTCTGTGGAGGGAATAAACCATGACATTACATCAGGTGGGTGTCACACCTTAGGTGATTAACTAAGGAGGAGTGCTAGAATGTATTGCTATGCCTCTGTAGCATGCAACCTGGAGTCACAGCATCTCAGATCTAATCAGATATTATTAGCTAAGTGTGGTCAGGCTGCATCAGTACTTAGATGGGAGATATCCTGGGGTTAGGAAGAAGTTTTCCTTGTGGGCAGGATATTTCATATCTGCCATCTGCAGAATTTCTTGCACCTTTCTTTGAAGGAGATGACTGTGGCTGCAGTTGGAGACTGGTCTGGACTAAATAAATCACTGGTCTGATCCAGTGAGCTAATACTTTTAGTCCTAATCCCACATGCTATATGAAGTATTACTGGTGACTCAGTAGGTGACACCTTTCTCCCTGAGAATATGTCTAGACTGTAATCACGGGGTGTGAGTGCAGCTCAGGCTAACATCTCTAAGCTAGCTGCTGTGGCTTCACTGCTCTGGGATATGAGCTAGCAAGATTAAAACTAGTTTGGATATGTTGGTTTGAGCTGCAAACACACCAGTGACAATTCCATAGTGACTTGGGGTATGTCCAGACTATGTTCTTGAGCAATGTACTTTTGGAAGTGCCATGTCAAGGATGAAACCTAAAACTCTAGTCCAAATCCCTTGTGATCATTAAAGATCCCATTGTACTTTTTGTAGGATTAGGAGTGTTAACCCCTAATCTCCTTGCCAAATTCCAGTTTGGGTAATTGTTTTCTGCCTAGATAAACTCCTTGCTGCTTCAGTGAGATGGTGTACTTTTTCATTTCCTGTTCTAAACATGCTGTTTAGTAGTTTTGTACCTTTTTATCTTTGCTGAATCTTACCCTAGAGATAGATTCAGAGGTAGTTTCACGTTGACAATGTGTGAAGTGTTACCTATACATTCATTGTTTGTCATTTTAAACGGGATTTTTTTTGGTGCAAGGTGCTAATTTAAATAAATACATTTCCCATATTTTGTGGACTATTGTATGCTACAGTCATTTCCTTGGCACTGAATCCCATTATTCCACTGAATTGTATGGCATGGAATTACCATCCAGTCCGAGTAGTATTTCCCTTCGTGATGTGCTTACATGTTACAGGCAAAGTGGACAGCAGTGCCACCAACCAGAAGTGAGCTGCATAGGGATTGAGAGAAGGAAAGAAGCCGGGGGGGGGGAGAGAGAATTATGTCCTCCAGTTGAAAGGTCAAAATCCAATCCCTATTCTCTGTTGCAGTGCTAGGAGATTAAGATGTCTGATATTGCACCTCATACTTCTATAGTAGATAAATGCATATAGCCATCACCCCATCATCTCATATCACTGGATATTCGCAAAAAGATAGCAGCAATGAAATATCAAAAGGTTTAGAAATAAAGTGGTCAAAAGTCAGGAAATCTCAAAAGTGAATGGTGAACCTTAATTCTGCTCCTTAATGTATGTTTAACATACAGTCTTGCTACAGTGCCAGCTAATATAATAGATCATATTTTTTCACAGAATCTGTCTTTTTAAAGAAAAAATATGGAGGGCACTTTAGTTTGATGCCTCCTGAAGCTTTCTCAATAGAACTTCCACCAACTCTGATTGTACTGACACTGTCAATTTTATTTGTGAACAATTATATAATATTCCCCTCTAGGCATGGATGTTTTTTTAAAAAGTGCTGGTGCAGTTGCAGAATTGCTCAGCAAGCATTTAGGAAAATGGCAGTGATTTCAAGTGGCATTGCTGAGTGACCTTCCAAAGGTTCTTCTAAACTCTGTGTAGCATGCAGGGATGGAGAATTTTTGTCAAAGTGACTTTTGTAAACTCTGAAGAAGTACTACACTATAAACAATGCCCAGTGGGCCTCATTATCCACCCATTGGTGTAAAACTGGTGTAATGGAGTAAAGGGTTAGTCCTACTGTGCAGCTTTGGGATTGTGCTTTTTTTATTTTTTCCTTCATTGGTTCACTGTAAGGAAAGATTACATAGAATAATCTGGTCCCTCCCTTCATTTATTGGTCAGCCTGATAAAAATGATGCTTCTCTCATCTGGCTATATAATCTCTAGTAGTCTAATCTTGATGGATGGGGATTTATTTCCTTAACTCACACACATGTTGATGGGAAACACCAAGGCAAACTATATACATAAAAAGATACTATATACCTAAAGAGATTCCTTATTACAGGGTGACAGTTCTCAGCTTATCTATGTCCACAAGAGCTGTATCAGTAGTGAAGGGTGACTTATATTTGTTGAAAACAACTTTTTATAAATAAATTAAAATTGGCTCATATCATTGTATAATTGCCTGGATATTGAAATCCAGACTGGTATTTCTGGGATTATATTGTAATGGCATTTACAGCCCATCTTTTTTAGCCTGGGATAATGTGTTTCATTTCTTCAGATTCAATGTTTTTCTTTCTCTTCAGCCAACGATGGTGATTACTGGAGATTGCTTACACCAGGAAACTACAAACTTACAGCCTCAGCACCAGGCTATCTAGCAATAACTAAAAAAGTGGCTGTTCCCTTTAGCCCTGCCATTGGGGTAAGTTCTTCCTCATTGGTTGGTTTGTCTTTCCTTATGTAAAAAGAATAGTGGAGTATTGTTATTTATATTATATGTATATTCCTATATTTCATAAACTCAAGTCTAAAGCAAAACCTTAGCTGCTTTTCATTCATAACTCTCTATATACCCAAACCTCATCAGTTTAGAAAACGGGCTGGATATCTAGTCAGACTGCGCACTCTTTCTTTCTAATGCTTGTTGGCTTCCACCAAGCAAGAGTAGTGTTGTTTGAAGGTGTCTCATTTCTTTTGCTACTGGTCTTGTCTCCAAGTGGGAGACATGTAGGTGGGTAAAAATTACACACACAGACGGATGGACATTAGCATTTTTGTTTAGATTTGATGTTTATTATTAGATGATTACCTGTTAGGTTCACTCCCTCTGGGGCACCTGGCATTGGCCACTGTCAGTAGACAGGATACTGGGCTGGGTGGACTTTTGGTCTGACCTAGTATGGCCATTCTTATGGTCTTTTGGCAACTGAATATTCAGTTAAGGTGAAAATCTCCTTAACCTCTGTGCAGAGGGCCAGCACTAGAACACTTACACCACTTAAGTCCTACTTTTGGGTTTATTTGGCACTTTAGTGGGACTTAAGTAATGTATGGGTTTTGGTTTGACCCTCTACACAAAGGTAAATTTCCCCCTTAAAAACTAAAGTGGGACAAACCTATCCTGGATGTAACTCTGTAGAAGATGCATTAGGGAAGATTTTAGATCAGTGCCTCTCTTTAAAATTATTTCTGGTAGACAATAAACAGTGAGTCAACCTAATATGACATCATTTTATTAGGACATACTACAGCACATTGTAGCAGGGTTGCTGTTTACTGAGTGTCCTCTCATGGCCCACCGTATTCTGCTACCAATGTCCCCTCCCACTTTTCAGGACCCCTTAATAACTCACAGTTGATAGGTAATTAAAACGTTCCCCTCCAGCCCCAACCTCAGTCTAGTCAGTCTCCTATAGGTAGAGATACCTCAGCCCTTCTTCCCAGATCTAGCTCCAATTCAGTCTTTTAGCTGTATCCGGCAGGAGCTTTGCCTTCTCTGGCTTCCAGGCCCCCACATCCTTCTCCCAGTCAGGGTGTCTAGAAGGAGCTGGGCCCAGTACTCTGAGGCTTCACCTGGCTAAAATTCAGCCTTCTGGTCTGGCTTCTAGGCCCAAACCATTCTCTCACTCAGCGCTCTAATAGGAGCCACCGGAGCACTCTCAAGGTCTTCCCTACAGAAGCCTGTCACACTCACTGCAGTCTTTACATTTTTCAAGACTTCATTACTTCCTCCTGCTGCTCTTTTTAGGGCAATCACCAACTCTCTCCCAGGTGTCTGCTTTTGTAATCAGCCTTGGCTAGCTCCAGCCCTCAGTGGGCGAGTCACCCTATTACATAGCTAAAATAATGTGTTGTATGTGAGAAGGAACTCTGTGGTGGCATAAGGTAGCATATGTGTTGCTCTGCCATGCAGCAGACAACTACCTGAATTCTGATCTTGGTGTTTTTCTCCCTGTACTGGTAGGTGGTGGGCAAAGCCACAATGGTAATTCATATCATTGCATGCTAAAGGAGTTAGGTGCCCAGCTGTCATTGAATTTCAATAGAAGTTGGGCACCTAACTCCTTTAGAGTCTTTTGAAAAACCCAGCCTAAAATGAGGGAACTTCCTCCAGTAAATATTTGTTCTCCTATAATTCCTTTCAGTTAATTAATCCAAACATGGACTTCCCTTCCCTGCCCTACATTCCCTGCAGCATTGTTTAAAAATTCACCTTTTGGATTGTTTCTCTGACCTAGGTTGATTTTGAGCTGGAGTCGTTGTCTGAAAGAAAAGAAGAGGAGAAAGAAGAGTTGATGGAGTGGTGGAAGATGATGTCAGAAACGTTAAATTTCTAAATGAAGTCTTTGAATTTTCAGCTTTTAATCTATGATGTGTTGACTTAGTATAATGTGCTGTGGACAGACCCTATATTTTAGATCTTGTGCAGTTAACAATATTTAACTTTGATTTTTTTCAGTAATCTTTTGATTAGTACCAGCACTAATTAAAAAAATGACTAGGCTACTAACTAGACAAATAAAAATTATTAATTTTTATTTCATACTGTTATAGAAAATTCACTCTCCTACATATACGATTCACAAAAAAAAAAAAAAAAAAAAAAGGAGAGGCTGCTGAGACATTCAAAGTGGAAATACAATCTTCTATGTGTAATTTGCAAGTCCAGAATTTGTAGGTTAACTCTGGATTTAAAAATACCCATAATTCTTAGTCAGTTTCAGATACTGCCAGAAATGTCTGGCAATGCATATGAGCAGAAGATGTTCTGTATTGAGTTATAATGAATGTAGTTGAAAAGGTATATAATAACAGTTTGGTGTTGTAAGTAATGTTTTACAAGAATTAAAATCCAGTATAAAATTATCTGTCTTTGGTGGTGGAAGCTATTTAAACAAATAACAAACTTATAGCTTCATTTTAGTAATGTGGAAGGAACTTATATATGCATTTTTACTGAAGATGACCCAATATTAATAACAGGGGATAATGTTACTTTATCCCTTAATCTGTTACTGATACACCAAGGTTGGATTTGAGGTTTTTCAGTCACTCACTAACCAAATTAAAATTCTGAATGGCAAAAGAAGAAACGCTGCAAAGTGTACATTTTGTTAATATGCTTCTTGTGCTTGTGGGGTGTTCCTGTGAGGAAAACGTTCAGTGTTTCAGCTGATATATAACTACTAGACACCCAGTTATGGAAGAACTGCCAAAGATTTCAGTGTGGTTTGGATGAGCAGCCAAAAGTTCCAGTGCTCATCCAAAGCCACCTGACCCTCTTCAATTTACAAAATAGGTTGGAAATCTACTAAGGACAGGCATTCCTTCTAGTGCTCAATGGTCTGAGCCAGGCAGTAGTAGTGTTGTTTGAAACTCTTGTTTGTTCTGCTGCTCGTCTTTTCTAAATCTAGGAGAAACACAGGTGGGTAAAAGTGAAATATATATGTATACTAAAATTTTACCAAAATATTTTACAAGGAAAAAAAATATACATTTCAGTTCTGGATGAATTTTTGGACCTCCAATTTATTTTTAATTATCTGAACCAGTTTGTTTCATTATTTAGTCCATGAAAAATGAAACTTTCAGGTGTCTAAACATAAAAGTATAAACGTTGACTACCAGATCCTCAGCTGGTGTAAATTGACATGGTTACATTGAAATCAATGGAACTATGCCACTTTATACCAGCTAGGATCTGACTGAAAGTTTAGAGTGTATTGCTGTGTGTCATTTAATTTAGGATCAGGTGTTTGACTCCCCCTCCCGCCCCCAACGAGTAATGGAACAGAGGAAATAGAATATTGTATCATCCTCTCTCAAATAAATCTGTAGTTTTATTAGCCTGTATTTTCAGTCAATGGGGGTTGCAGGATTCAGAATTAGATCATCAGTGCCCAGTCTTACTCTCATTGAAGTCAATATGAAAACTACCATTTACTTCATGTGTTCAGGAAGAGGCCCTAACTTGATCTGCTTAAGATTCTAGTTTGACATTCACAGCAAATTGTGTCCTTGAACTTCCTGCATTTCTTAAACAAACATAGCTCTTTGACTTTTAAAATAAAATGCCCAAGATACTGCATATGTTCCTATATTGAACAGTAATGAAAATGAATAACCTGATTTCTATTGAACCAAAAAATGACTGTGTAACATGTAGATCATTGCTACAGTAAAGTAGTAGACACTGGACTACAAATCCCAAGGGAACTCTTTTAGTAAGAGTCATGCTGAAGAACCTTTGTCACAAACACAAAAAAAAACATTGATACACAGAGATTTTGGTAAAAAAATGTAACCTCCACCTCCCACCCCAGTGTGTGTAAATAGTTGAGGAGACACACAGACACAAACACCTACTACATAGTAGCTTAAAATGTAGAGACATTAAATACAAAACCACTTGTCTGTATGATTATATGTATGGAACAACTGATACTGGGTTCAGATAAAATGGGCAAAATAAAAAAATGGTATGAATTAAAATAAAGGAGTGCTGGCATTTGGCAATGGCTACAGAGTTGCTTTCAGCCTGTAAATTATTGTAATAAGGCAAGTGTACATTTGTACAAAATACAACATAAAACAGCATAATGTTAGGCCAGAAGGCGCTGTTATATGGTGCAACTCCTATCATGTAGTCAATTTTTCTGCATAGGGAATTCTGTGATATAGTGCAGACATTACATCAAACCGAACCTCATAATGTATTTTTAAGCCTTGCTTGTATTCCATGCATGCCATTATCTGGTCTATTGTTTTATGCATTTGTAAATGAAATGTAATGTCCCCTAAGCTATCATTGTTTTACTTCAGATGTCTGCTTGCTATTAGTTGTACTGAAACAGGCTGAAGTAATTAAATATTACAGCACCAGAACCACTGCCACTGTTCTTACTGTATGTAAAAATGCTTAAGAACAGCATAACCAGGAGTGTCAATAAATAGTTTATGTAGCTTCTCTAGCTGAACTGATCTGTGCTGTAGGATTGTGTACGTTGCAATGGAAGATAAAAAGTGTGTTACGTGATGCAGAGTTCTTTGGTTGAAAAAGGCACATACTGTACTATTGTACAATAAATAGGTCTATTTAAAATGTAAAATGTATAACTACATTCTATGGCCAACTTCCGCCCCCTTTTCATTTCCTGAATGCTGAAAGGGCCCAGAATGTGTGCCATGTTTCAGGTGTTTATCTTACTGCAGTATTTCTGGGAATCCCTATATTTAGAATGGCAGATACCATGGTTAACAATACTGCAGGTGACAAATGTCCAGCTAGTAATATGCTCACTATTTCAGTATTGCCAACCCCAGCATTCAAAAACCATGAATTTTAAAAGTCATGAGATTAAAAAAAAAAACATGTTGGGTTCTTTTTCTTTACCTTTTGGTTTCTGAACCTCTAAGATGCACTCGGTTCATGTTTCCAAGCTTTTTCTACACAACCATGTGGGCCAGAAACTTACTTTAAAAAAAAAAAAAAAATGAAAAACGGAGGCTCTCACATAATCCTATGCCTCCAGGAGCAAAGGCTCTAAGAAAGACACCACAAAATTGCAAGAGTTGGCAATATTGCTGTATATCTTTGCAATAGTGATTAAGGGGCTTGTAGTATAACTGTATTGGGTGGCCTTCAGACACTGATTTCTGCTCAGCCTGTCTCCTTCATTTTGCTCCTCTGAGCCCTAGATATTATATTTCAACATTAATTTTTACGACCAGCACATAAGCATCTTTTATTACAGATCTAGATCTACACTGAATTAAATGCAAGACTGAATAATGCACTCTGTATAGTATCTTTATGGCCTTTATATTACATTTTCTATTATCTCAAGGTACTACAGATTGTTATACTGAAGACATGATTGCATGGAAGAAGTCATCCAGGAGCGAAGCTGGCAGTTTTAGGAACTGTGTAGGGGACAGTTGGGGCAGTCAGCATCTGGGAAGGTTATTGGAAACAGTTCAGCATTGTGATATTAGCTAGATCAGTGGTTCTCAAAGTTTTATATTGGCGACCCCTTTCACACATCAAGCTTCTGAGTGTGACCCTCTTTATAAATTAAAACACTTCTTTTTATATTTAACACTATTATAAATGCTAGAGGTCAAGTGGGTTTGGGGTTGGAGGCTGACAGCTCACGACCCTCAGTTTGAGAAACCCTGAGCTAGATATTTCTGCTAAATATTCAGCAACAAAATGCTACAAGCAGATTGGAGCCCTAGAATCAGTGCAATCAACATCTTATCTGTACATTTAGGGCCTGATCTAAAGCCGAGAGAAATCAATAGAAACCCCTTTAATTGGACTTTGTTTCAGGCTCTTAAACAGAGATCTACATGATTGTCCCAGACAACAGGGTTGTGTGGTTTAATTAGGCTTCACTCATCTGGGAACTAATTAGCAAAAACTCGTATAGTACAGGTCATGATTCCTTCCTTAATCATTTCCACCTGGTGAAGTTTGCCGTTACTCCCCTACCCCACCACAGCTGGTCTCAGCCCATTGCTGGAACCCTACTATGCTCCCTCATAAGAGGGCTGAGTGTATAGGGAAGGAGGGATTATCTCCTTGCTGTTCTAGATATTTGGACCCCCAAACCTGTTCCCCAGATTCTTTAGGGGACATCATTCCCTAAGCCCACTTCCATGTCTGGTTCATCAGGGAACTGGATACCTGCCACCTACTAGACTTTTATAGGGTAAGCAAAATAAATGCATGCCTTCTCCTCCTCTGCAACAATTTAACTGTCAAATTTTATAGCAAAGGAAGGAGTGTCTTTGGATTACCATCTCTCCCATTGTCTTGATAGTGGTCTCCCATTTATTCCTATTAATAATTTGTGCTTTATAAACCTTGGCTCATTAACCATTACAATATCTCTCTTAGGCATGTATTATATGCATTTGCAGATGAGGGAAATTAAGTCAGAATAGGTAAGGACTTTATTAAGTGCTCCTAAGGTCTGGGCCCACACTGGGGGCACTGTGGTGGTACACCGTCCCAGTGGGAGCTCACTAAGACAATAGATGAAATACTGATGCCAGTGAAGTCCCTGGCAAAACTCCCATTGACTTTAATGGGGCCAGAATTTCACCCAATATACTGAAATATGCATAGTGCATTCTAGAGCTGGGGGCATGGTCACAGCAGAGAGAAGGGGGCTCTGGCCCTGGCATCTCCCCATTCACTTTGGGTTGTAGTCTTGCATAGTCCTTGGGCTCACAGGAATACAAAAACCACACTGTGCCCAGAACCAAAACCTGATGTCATGGATCCACAGGATCAGTGGTAGGCCCCAGACTCAACAGTTTCTGGAGGAACCACTTCAATCATAAAAACTCCTAAGGGGTCTCACTCTTCCTTCAGGATAGGCCATGCAGGCTGCAGCCCAGGGCCGTAACCAGTGTGGGGTGAGTGGGGCAACCCCCATGGTGCAAAAGTGTGTGTGTGTGTGTATGGGGGGGGGGGGAAATGGAAAAATGGTAGGGGGTAGAGTCTTGCAGGACTGGCAGGACCCATTGCCATAATAGCGGGAGTGGGATAAAAATTCTCCAAACAATGTAAGTGGG